AGACAATCATAGTCTAAAGTTACACAGTCCTTATAGAAGCCAGCAACTATTTTTGTTTAATAAAGTCATAGATCAGGATCATTGATTCCCTGATCTTGTACTTCCGGATAGTTAGGTATTTTAATAAAATGATATTAACTTCCACTCAACTATCCATATTCAACAATTAAAACGAATCACATCTTCAGTCTCTATCTCTGATAAACCCATTAGGCCATCTCCAACCTTATACCAAAATTTGAGGTAAGTTTTGCACCATTTTTACACCAAACTGGAAATCATCTCCAACTCATTATACCAAAACTTACAGCAAATAAAGAATGTTTAATCATTTTTTTTATTTTTTTATTCTTAAAAAATTATTTATTTGAAAAATTATTAATTTCTTTTACAACTACATAAATTACTAAAAGTTGGATGGGGTGGTGGGTTGGATTGGGTGGTTGGGTGGCGGTGGGGACCATTTCTTAGGGTTACAGTAGTAAGTGACACATTAATTTATTTTACAACTACATAAATTACTAAATAAATAATTACATTAAATTCATTAATAAATTTTAAAAATATATAGTACAATTAATCGAAATACCACAAATAAGAAAATATTACATTTTGAGTACTTTTATTTTAATTCATTCCTTAATTATTATTGATACATTATTAAAATTTATTATAAATGCACCTAACAACAACAACAACAATAATAATTTTTTGTATTACAAAAATGTATAACAAAAATGGACACAAATACCCTTAACCAATTTTTTTGCAAAGTGAAAAAGAGGAGCAAAATTGTATTTAACAATTTCGGTGCAACATGGTGCAATACGTTGGAGGACATTAGCACCAAATATTTGGTGCAATTTAGTGAATTATGGTGAAATGGTGCAACACTGGAGATGCTCTTAGCACTACACTTTTGACAATTTACAATTTGGACATGAGCATTCAAAAAGTAAATCTCACACAAAAGGGCGTACACACCACAAAATTGGAAGTTGTGAATATCCAAGCTAGAAAATATTTTATCATTTCTATCAAAACATGATCAAAATGTACAAAACAGTATGCCACATTAAATGTAGAGAACTCACCATGAAATTGGAGTTGGCTGCACAGCTGCTTTATCAGGCTGCATTCATAAACAAAAGATAAAATAAGAAATTACCAATTTAGGCACCAACAATACTGGCTAATTAAAGACATGCACAATAGACAAGAAAATAGTGACACATATCACAAATGGCATAGTCACCCAGTACAATTAACGAAACCTTAGCTTCTTTTTCTCTTTCAACATTGTCTAATGTTGTATCATCTACCTTACTAAACAAGCCAATAAGGTTCTTCAGTTTCTCCACATTATGATTGTCCGAGAGTATTTTTAAGAATAAAAAATAATTAATCAGTATTTCAGTACAATCAGCTGCCATGGAATATCCATAAATAGTGTAATCAACACCCCATGGATACTTGGTCCTTTAGCAAAAGGCAAGCAGAGCCGTCGAGGTGGTGTACAGGATTTTATCTGAAGATCTCCAAGTAAATGCTTGAACCCTTGACCACTGAACTCATCTGTCGGTTCCATTGCATTTAGACACTACAAAGTGAGCGGTGATTTGAAATACGTGATTGGATCATTTGACCACTTTTTTTTTAAGGGTAATCCAATATTTTATTTATCAATGTATAATACACATGAAGTGTATTATTGATTTAAATCGGAAAGTAATAACATGAAAGTAGGCAGGCCATCTATATGCCTGATAGCCGCAGCATTAAACCAATTATACAATGTCAAATAAAACAATTCCCTAATGTGCTCTGTTGTCCGTGTTAAATTTTCAAAGCAATGGTTGTTTCTTTCTCTCCATACACACCATATGATACATCCGGAAAAAGGTCCCGAATAAGTTTTCTATCCTTATTTCAAAAATTTCTCCTCCATGCCTTTAACACGTCTTCTATACGTTTCGACAACACACAATCCATGTGTTGCGACGCCAAAATATCATTCCACAATAAACGAGCAAGATCACAATGAAGAAACAAGTGATCAACCGTCTCTCCATCCCTCTTGCACATATAACACCACTCTGTAACATAAAAACATCTTGTACGAAGATTATCCACCATTAACACCTGTTCTCTAACCACTGTCCACAGTTAAAATGCCGCTCGTGGGGGCAATTTACATTTCCAAACCATCTTCCGTGGGAATGAACTCTCCACAAGTCCCAATAAAAATCTAAAATAAGTGCGAACGGAAAAACTGCCGTCCCGTGTCAACCTCCACCTACTACAATCACCCTCTCCTGCTCTGATGTGTACCTCGTACATAGATGCCAAGAACAGTGCATAATAGTCTAATTCTCAATCCTGCAAACCCCCGCCAAAAGCAATGTTCCAACTGAAACTCCCATTGTGAACATCTAATACATCATTCACCATAGCAGACGGCACCAACGCAATATGATACAAAGAAGGAAATCCCACCTTAAGCGGTTGATCTCCACGCCAACAATCATCCCAAAAACTGATGGTGTTGCCATTTCCCACTACAAAAGACAATCTATCACGAAAGCCGCTCTACCCTCGCCGTATATATCGCTACAAACTCACCTCATAAGAACCACAACTCTCAACTGAGCACCATCCCCCTTCCATAGTACCACATTTTGCCCCTATAATTTCTCTCCAAAAACTCTCTATCTCCACTCCAAATCGCCACAGCCACTTACCCAACAAAGCCTTATTAAACAGTGCGAGACTCCTCAGTCCGAGGGCACCCAACCTTATAGGGGAACAAACTACCCTCAATTAACCAAATGTAATTTCCTCTCCTCCCCTAATCCTCCCCCAAAGAAACTCCCTCTGGATCCTCTCTAATCTTTTTGCCACTGCAGCAGGAATCGGAAACAATGACAAGAAATAAATAAGAAGATTCAACAACGTAGACTTTATGAGAGTGAGACGGCCTCCCTTAGATGTACCCAACATAAAAACTAAGAATTGCTTGTGAAGATACAGTATAAACTTGTAAAGCATGCAAATGCAGTAATCTATCAACTATTATGTAAAATAAAAATATTGGTGCCACAGTTAAAAGTGATTTGAAAAAGATACAAATATTGATTCAGAGTTAAATATTACTTAATTAAAATGAAGCGAAGAGAAACGAATCCTGTGGAAAAAGTTGCTTGGCCAACAGTTAGGAAATTCAGGGTCTCAAGGACTATATTTACAGAAGTAAAAAAATTCTTTTATGTAGAAAATGGAAGGCTACTGGAAGTGATTTTAAAAAATATTTTTCGGTAGCATTGAAAGTTTTTTTTTTTCTTTGTTTTTTTTTATCTTTGGGTTTTAAGCTCTTCGTTCTTTTTCTTTTATCTGGCACGGACATAAAATATCTCATCCTTAGACTTGAGTCACAACATGAGCATGAAAGTCAGGCAAATAAGATGAAAATGAAATTAAAATTTTGCTTCTGTACCTAGAGGGTTATAACTGAGGAAGAGCCTACGGAGAAGACCATAAAAGAAGCAGATCGACTGTTAGAGAATATTAGAGAAGCTGGGTCAGATCTCTAGGGTGCCAAGTAGTTAACTCATTAAAGCTAAAAAATGGCATCTTTGAAGAATACAGCAGATTCATCCATGCAAAATATGTTTAGTAAAGTGAAAGCAATTAATTGTCTGCAGCAATGTTTCTGGAAGAATAAAAAGGTCTGTGGGGTACTTCAATGCGCAAGAAGCTTTTTTTTTTTTAATTAGAAAGTGTGGATGGTGATTTATAGATTCCTCGCTATGATTTACTTCAGTTGATGCTCATCAGTTTTTATGCTTTCCTGTAAATTTTATTTTATGAGTGAATGGCATTTCGACTCAGTAAGATTCTTATAGTTGTGGTTCGTGAGTCTTGAGTAGGGTATTTATAGTTATTTGCAGCCTTAGACTTAATTAGTTCAGAGTTTCCTACTTAAGAGTCTTCAGACCTTAATTTTTTACGAGTAAATTAAGTCCTATATGTTATCCTGGTTGGCTAAATGTAACGCCCCGAAAACATTAGGCTCGTTGGATAGCTCATATTTAATCACGAATTTTAGGCTAAAGAAAAAGTTGTTTTGGATAAGCACACATTAAATTAGACCCAATTGAAAGAAAACAAGGGTAAATAGGACTTTAAATAATTTATAATACTTTTCAATTTTTCTCTCCCCTTAATGTAACGTAATAAAAACCATAAGTTATTTTGATAAATTTGACTTGATAGTGTACTTTATCTACATATTAAAATCCATCATGATATTTGAGTGCAAACAAGATGCTGCCACGTGTATGAATTGGTTAAAATTGTATGTTTAGTTGACACGTGTTGATGAGATATGGAAGAAGTAAATGTTGATTTGCATGGAATTTAGGAATAAAGTTTTCAAGTCATTGTCATCCAATATTTGTTGCTTGGGATACGTTTCTTCATTCCTAGGTACACTAGGATTCAATTGTTTTTACCCTATATATACCCAGGTATAGTCACTGTATTTTCACAAAAAAAAAAAGAAAGATAGAGTAAAGGAGAGAGAGAAGAAGAGTGGGTGATTACCTTCACGTGAAAGAAAGAGAAAAGGTATTGAAAGTCAAAAAGTACAATACATTTTAGACTTTTTGTTAATAACAGAGTAAGATACATTTGTGCAAGTCGATGTTTCCGTGTGATTTTATGTTCAATAATATATGCATAAATTGCCACTGAACCTTTGTGTTCGACCTAACGCAATGTAAAATCCTTCGGGAAATTCAAAATGAGAAATGATGAGCATCTCGCTTGATCACTGATATACTCCATAAAGAGAAATGTAGTATGAATTGTCTATATTATTGTTATATAATTGCGTATGAAGACTGCACGTATCTTATTGGGTATTTTTAAATACTCACTCTTACTATAATTTTTCAAGTTAATTCGGACCGATTGGAACTGTGACGAATGGTGCAGTGGACTGCCAAGAGATTTCGACATGTGAAAAACTAAGTTTTTCTGCCTTTAGATTTATTAGTTTGATTTGTCCAAATATTATTATTGAATTAGTTAGTTAAGAATGTAATTATTTTTTTAAAACAAATACGATTTCATGATTTAAATTTAAGTTTATGAATGTTCCAATATTTATTAAAGAATTCTATATTTTATCGTTCCGCGAGGAGATTGAATTTTTTGTAACACCCCAGTGTTTGTGAAAATTTGGGGAGTTACACTAAACAAGAGAGAGTATAAGTTATGCAGATACAGCAGAAACATCGAAAAAAAAATGCAAAAATTCTTCTTAAAACTATTGATGTTTTCTTTTTGAAGCTAACCAACTATTGGTTGATAAGAATGTTAGTCCAGAGATGTAAAAGATCCTCAAAAAGAATTGTACCTCTGATGATCAGAGACAACATAAATGGTTGCAGTACCTTGTCCTTAAAGCCCAAAGGTTTCTCATAGGTAGATACTCCTGTCAAAGAATTATAATAGTATACAACTCCACTTTCAGTTCTGTGTGCTGTCCAGGCATCCAGTTGTTCTCTGACAGAAGCTTCAACTTCGATCTCATCATTATTAACGTGTTTACTACTATCTGTAAAACATACAGGCAATGTTTAACACCAAAATATAATAATTGGAATCTTAAATACATTATCCTAAACATGAAATCTCAACATACCAATACCAGGAGGTAGCTCTTCCTGTACTGACCCAACTGTTGACTGGTCACCAGAGGCCACTGAAGATGTAGAATTCCCACCAGAAGATACTGCTGGAGTAACTCCAGGAGGTTGGGTATTGGGAAATGAAACAGAAATTGGCAGAATAGCACGAGTTGACATGGGAAAAGAACCGGGAACAACAGCAGGGTATGGTGAAAATGATGGTCTGACAATGCCACTGATCTGTGGTGACTGCAACCATGGTCCTGGAGGAGCTGCTTGAAATGGAGTAGGATAGGGAGCAAAAGTCTGCTGCTGAATTGCGAAATTAGAGAGAACAGGAGCAGTAGGCATGAAGGATCTTGGGAGCGCAGGAGAATCCACAGATGAAGGGACAGCAGTTATGTTTGAAGATGAAGATACAGAGGATGCAATTCCAGGAGGGCCAGGTGTTAAAGGAGTTCTAGGCATTCCTGGAGGCACCTGAAGTGGTGCAGGGGGCAACCAAGCAGCCGTGCTGCTATAACTATTAGCTGCATAAACAGTTACTGAAGGACTTAGATTTGTAAGAGCAGGCTGAGAAGCAGACTGTGTGGAAAGCTGTGCAGAAGCGATTGCTCCAATCTCTTGAGTAGCACTTGCTCTTACATTCTACAGCCAGAAAAAAGCCTATGAGCTCAACAGCAATTCTGACTATCTTGCATACAATATAAAGTGGGAGATATATGCATATATCTACATTCAGTGGCTAGAATTTATACTGTGATAGTGCATCTAAGATGAAGAAATCGAACCAAAATACATACAGTTTCCAGTGATAAGTTGTTCTGCATCAGTTGCTGATTCCCATTAAAAGAGAAGTTTAAAAAATGTGAAGAGCTTCCTTGAGGAACACCAACAGGCGGAGGGCCTGGAGGGGTCATGACTTGTGCAGCTGTTCCAGGTACAAATGTACCGGGTTGTGAGGTGCGTAAAGGAACAGGAGGATGCAAGAATGCTGGCTGTGCAGATTGTGTAGGAGATGAAGCAATCTTTCCCACTTGAGAATGACCTTGCTCAACAGCCTGCCATGAATCAATAATAATTGTCATAAACTTCCCAGGACACGTATGGATGTATGAATGTATAAGACTAATCAAGTTAAAATCCCCAGTAACAATCTCAATGAAACTGAAAATGAAATTATACTTCAGCCATGGGTTTTTCACCTAAAGAAGAATAGGAACAGAGGAAATACTGGAAGCTAATTCTACATTAATTACAAAATAGTGGGTAAGAGAGTGATATTAGAAATCAATAAGGATCTTTTAGAAGTTGATACAGATATTTCAGTGTGACAACGATATACCAGAATCCATTAGAGAAAACAAGATTATAAACTAATCCAAGATCATGGTATTTATTGTACTAAAGATGTTCCACCCCAATAATTAAAATTATCAACTAGCTAAGTGATAACCCCCTCTTAAACACATGTCCTCTCACGTGTCTCCTCGTAAACAAAAATGTGATAATTACATAAGGTTTTAAAAGAGTGCCACTGATTTATTGGGAACTGTATGTAGTATTTGAGATACGGGAAAAGAAATACCATTCTGGTAATTTTCAAAATGGATTGCAGACAAACTGCAGGTTCATCAATCATCAATGGTTCTAGAACTGCTGAGCCTAAGCTACATGCAATAGCACCTAGAATTACTGGAAAAATATATATAAGATCATTGGGCCATGCAGGTTTTCTATAACAATTACGACCCATACCTTTAGCAAAGTCAGGTCACTTTCATGAAATGTACCACATGTGCAAATCAAGAGGGTACTGAAATTGGAGATCACAGACTCAATTCACGAGTCTACAGCCTATCCTCCCCCACATAAAAGGACATTTACTATAAGCATCAGATTCCTTGTTTAAGCAGCTTAACAGAACACAATGATGAGGTTTTTACTCAATGGGTTTCTCAATACGCATGCATTGCAAAAATGTGTTAGTTAAGAGTACGTGGAGCCCTACCGTGCTAGCAGATAACTGCTGACCACTAGAAAAAATGTATCTATAATGCAAAAAAGAAGCATCCCTCGTGGACAGACTAGAGATTGTGCACGTCTGATTATTACAATGAACAACCCTTTGAAATTTTAACTATACAACATTTTCTTCTTTTTGTGATTACTTACTGGACTAGAAGATGACTGCTGCGAACTTCCAGAAGGTGGATTGTTCCCATTCAAGTAAGAGAAGGAAGGTCGCAGGACACCATAAGCAGTAGCACTGTTTTGTTTTGGTTCAGATGCATCTTGTAAAGGAGTAGTTGGAGTTGAACTAGATACGGAGCGCAGCTCTGCCATTTTTCCTTACTTTAACTTCGTTAATAACAATAAAGAGTCCAAGGAGAAAACTGCCAGAAAAAAGAAAAGTACAAGAATTTAAAAGGGAAAAATCAAATAAATTGCCAACACATTTACATAGTACTTTCCTCAGAAAGCAAAACTCGGATTTTAACATTTGACGAGATGGATAGGGTGAAATTACAAATATTTGAAACATTCAGCTAATACCCACTAGTTACGAACGTAATTAAGCAACACGACAGAAATTAACAATAACAAAACGTATTTACAAAAGTCTGTGTGACTGTTTAACTGGAATAGCATTCAGTTTGTATATCGATGACGAAGAAATGGTTTAATTTTCTAAAAATTGGGTCAGTATGAAGAACAGGTAATTTAGTAATAAAACTAACAAAGAACAACTAGGAAGAAACGTACCAAGTAGCCAAACCAGAGAGAGAGAGAGAGAGACGGCGAAAGCAAGAGCAGAGAACAACTAGGAAGAAACGTACCAAGTAGCCAAACCAGAGAGAGAGACGGCGAAAGCAAGAGCAGAGAAGCTGCTCCGACTATGGCGTCATTGCCTGTAGGGGTTAAATAATGGGAGTGCGATTTGGAAGACAAGTTAAACCGGGATCACGATTTTAAGTTATTTTCACCCTAGGTCCATAATCTTTTGAAATGAAGAATTATAGTTCCATAATTGATCCCAGTGCAAATAAAGCTCCTGTTTAGTTCCCATTTTTTAAGAATTCATCTTTTTCAAATTTATTTTTAAATACACAATAAAATAATTTACTCGTTAATTTATAACTTTTTTCTACGGTTTATCACATATTCTTTAAAAAAAATTATTTTTCGTAAAATCTATTCTCGAATTTTTCTTTACCAAATAGGTACAAAATTCGAAAATGATGACTCATCCTAATCCCATCCGAAAACTAGTTATAGCTAGCACCCCATGCTTTGTATTATCATGTTAAAAATTTTGAAGAAGAAGACACTTCTATCATTTGGTTTTAATCTTTCTTAAGTATTATGTGGAGTACTTTTGGGGAAAATTAATTAAAATTGAATGTGTATTGCACGTTATTTTGAAATACTTTACAAGTGTTGTAAAAATATTATTTGATAACAATTTATTGAGAAAATTTGATGAGCCTCAACAAACTAAAGAAATTATAATTTAGGATAAAAATTTAAGAAAATAAAATTGTACTTTGAAAAATCAACTTTATGATTCAAAACTTGTTGTGATGATGAATTACAACAAATGAGCAACATTTTCATTTGGTACATAAGAATTAATTGTTGATTTTTCAATTTAAATACTAATTAAAAATCTTACATATAGAAATAAATTCATTTATAATAACTTTAGATTCATGTTGATCAAGATTCATCAAGTTAAGATTCATTTAATCTAGATTAATGTGAATGCTAATTAATTGAGAATTAATAACGCAAAATTCATACATGACAAGGATATTCTAGTATCTAGTACATATTGAAAAACGAAAAGTATGGTATTATTGAAATAATTGAATTGTAGTATGGTTAAAATCGTCTAAAAATACTGCTCACTCGATATGATATTTAATATATTATAGAAGATTAATATGAATGTTAATTAATTGAGAATTAATAATACAAAATTCATACATGACAAGAATTTTGTAGTATTTATTACATATTAAAAAACGAAAGTAAGGTATTTTTAAAATAATTGAACAGTAGCAAGTTTAAACCGTCTAAAATATTATTCTCACTTGATGTGATATTTAATATATTATAGATAGTGATTTGTGTATATAAAAAACAATTAATTCAATAAATTCTAATAAAAAATTTGCTAAAAAATATTTGAACACAAATCAAGGTGAAAACAAAGTTCAAAAAAATGACATCCAGATAGTCACATCGAACATGTGTCTTCAAGTCATATAAGCCTTTTGTGCTTATAAGAGTGGCATCAAGTGTATGCTATATGCAAGAAGGCTATTGTTAGTAGGTGTAGGGGCGGAGCCATGAATTAACGTTACGGGAGGGAAAAATTTTAAAAATTTAATGTACGAATGAAATTCATGTATAACAAAAATAAAGTTATAATGTAATATTACCTATTACAGATTCGAAGTTTCTGTTTTCCACATTCTTTACTTTGATAGTCTAAAAAATTTGGTTGACAATGTCCTGTCTTTAAATAAACCCGCCTAATCTGATTGCATTCATTAAATAGATGTTCACATATTTACTTTCTTTTTTCCTTAATCCCGTTTAATATAATCAAATGATCCCAAATTTCCAAATCAAGAATGGAAGATGAAGGCCTATTTAGGGTTTAAAGATTGGTGGGTGAAGATATTTAGGGTTTAAAAAATTGTGAATTTTTTCAATTTGATTTTCAAAAGTTTCATGTGCCTGTGGTCGAATTTTGAAGAAAGAAGAAAGAAAGGAATCAAATCTAGTAGGATGGACTATGGACTAAAAGTTAAACGGGTTAGTTTTAAAAATTGGGCCTAAAGTTAAAACAAAAGATTAGTTTAAGAATGAGAAAATGAGGCCCCATACCCTCCCAAAATAAAAAACAATTAGAAAAATAATCTTAAAACTAATTAAAGTTCTTAATCCCGTAAGTAATACGGGCAAAACTTCCAAAATCCCCAAACCTCCAGAAAGTCCCACCATCACAAGCCACCCATAATGATGGCTGCAATTGCTCTATAACTTGCCTCGCCAACCACCACCTAAACAACCCATCGCTGGACCGACGAGTGCTACTCCTTCCGGATATGCTTCTTTCTCAATTTCTAGTTTTTCTTTTGTGATTTCTAAAAGTGTTTTAATTCTAGGTTGTTTCGTTTTGATTCAAGATTTTAAAGAAATTTTAAATCCATGTTTGAAATAACACAAATTGATGCATATGGAGTCACCACCACCCTTTTCCGGCATAGTGCGGTGGGAGCCAAAGCAGTATCAATTGCCGGAGATGGAGCATCCACTTTAGAGGCAAGCGATGATTCCTTAACCTTGAGCGCTGACTAAGCAGGGGCTGGGGATTGAAATGTAGCTTTAGCTTTAGCTTCAGGCTTCAACTACTTCATCCTCTCTGTTTTTGCTAAAAAAATTCTAATCGTCGCACCAAGAAGAATTTTCTTTCCTTCGTTAATAACAATGGCCGCTAATATTACATCTTAGAACATCCCAACAACAACAAAAGATTCACCCTTCGACCATTAAGGCTTTCTCACAAGTCTATGGCAACTCTACCATTTGTCGTAACTCCTCCACAGCCACAATAACATCTGGGCTCCGCCTTCGCCGACTTCCAAAAAAAGAGAAAGAATGGTACACAATCGTCAAGATTTCTAGGATAAAAAAGTTCAGCTTCGCCTGAAGACCCAACCACTAGCATTTGATGCGATTTCAAGTTTCAACATCCATTTCGGCCCTACCCCTCTTTAATCCATATGAGCCCTACCCCTCTTTAATCCATATTATTTTTAGTCTTAATTTAATTTTTTTTTTCCCAAAATTTGTGACAATTTTAGATTTGAAGTTCAATTTTTTGTCAGCGATCGAAATTCTTTTCCAGTTTGCAGATATGAGTTGCCGATTGATAGTAATAACTATGATAATAGCAATAGTGATCCAAGTGAAGTGCATAGAGAAGTAAACGAGGTGGAGAATGGTGATGAAACTATTGGATTGAAGATATGGAGATTGCTTGGTGGTTGGTTTGCTGTGTGCTGATTTTCGAGAAGGATGAGGCAATTGCTAATGATATATATTGAGATGGATGGTGGGTTTAGTAATTGTTAACAATATTGTGAAGAATATTTTCTCTCTATTTCTTATTGGAAACAGTGATACACATATATATACAAAGTCTAGGATTCTCTCTTAGGAAAGTATATAAATTAGGATCTTAGAATAAGGTAATTAACTAATTACAATCTATAATAGTAATAAAGGTGTTTCAAGAATTTGTTCACTCTATTTGATTATAGAATTGTTGTATATTAGATGAGAGTTATAAATATAAATCATCATTAGCCCTTCGCTTTAAAAAAAAAAAAAAAATTCGTCATTTTTTTGAGTTTGTCACTTTTTTACTCTGTATAACTTCTTTTAATTTATGCCACTTTTTTGAATTCATCACTTTTTTGAAGTGTTTATTACTTTTTTCAGCTGCCTTCTTGATTTCTATCACTTTTTTTAGTGACAAACATCAATTTTTAATAAAAGTGACATTGTATATCATTTTTTAATAAAAAAGTGACACTTAACTTTAAAAAGTGACGGTGACTCACTTTTTCAGTGTCACTTTTTTTTTACTGTGTCACTTTCTATTAAAAAAGTGACAATTGATTTTACATAATATTGTTTACTTCCAAAATACGTTTCATATGATTTTTCAAAAGACTTATAATTTTAAGGGTATTTTTGTAAGTTGTCCTTTAAGAATTGACTAAGCTAGCCAAGTGATATGAATTGTTAGTGGGCTATGGATTGAGGTTCTGTTCGATTCTCATTATTGTTGAATGAGAATGAAAAATATTGCCGTTATTGGGCCCCACACAAGAGATAAAAATTTCAAAATTGATGGTTTGATGTGATGGATAACGGTCATATTTTTCATTTTATGGATGAAAAATGAGAAACAAATGGAGGCTAAAATTAAAATCAATTTTCATCTAAATGTACTATTTTTAGTGGATTTGGGCAACAGTGGGCTACAACCAAGTGCAGCTCACGGCTAGATCCGTCCCTGATTAGGTGGCCTAGCATGAATATGTCGGCTCAAAGTGAGCTAAAGGAGTTCAATAGCAATGGGATGCTAATCATGTCGTAGAGAGCTTCATGTAGTAAATGAAGTCGTAAATTTAGGGCAATATCATTGAAGAAATATTTTTTAATGTAGTAACACAAACTCTTTAACATAGAAAGAGCAAATCTACAATAATTACTTGGCAAAAGTTCAAGAAAGAGCTCAAGTAACAATTCTACTAAGAGAA